AATGTGTTCGCAATCTAACACAACGAACGATTGAAATCGATATGTTAAGATTGCTTTTTGGCAAATACTGCAAGGATTGAGTTTTGGGATTCTGCTAGGAATAGTTGAAATCTCTTGATTTCGAAGATAATTTAATGCAAGTACTTCGAGTTGGGAAGGCTCTGGAGTATTTGTTTGAATTTCCGAAGTGCTGGTCGAAGGTTCACTGGCTATAGTGGCGCTCGAAGGTTCACTAGCCATAGTGGTGAATTGTAGAGATAAAATAAATACTCCCATGCATCCTCAACACCCGTCTCCTACTTATACAGTTTTCCACTCCTCTTTGATCTGCAGGTGAAATAATAGCCCGAAATTAGTGAGAATGGGCGCACCTATTACGCTAAGGGTCTGCAGAGATAGTTGCAGAAAATCCCGATCTTCGTTGTCAATCCAACTTACCGATCACGAATTAAGATTTCGTCCCTAAATGCCCTGCATTAGTGCGAGTACGATCAAACTATCAGCATAAATAATCTATCAATGCGTCCATTACTACTCTGCTATCCATATGCGAAGAGTTAATCAAAGCAAGCTTTTTTTATTTGAAATACATTGGATAAATTACAAATTAGCGACTTTGCGTCTATCCAATACCCATCTATAATCAGTTTTTGTCCTAACCTCTGTTTCATCGGCCGTTTCGCTAAGTAAAAAAAATGGCTGAAGTCGATATCGCACTGCGCATTTGCCTTAGCGGTGATCGCTCCATATGACCGTCTAAGCCACCCACGTGATTCGAAAAAATATACGATAATCTAGTCTATACGAGTATATAATTCATCCAATAATTATCCTAGGCGGTTACCGGTGAGATAATAGGACTCATCATTGGTGAGGTTTTTCTTTCATATCTTCCGTCACAATAGTAATAACCTCTATCACGTTCACCATATTCATTATATCCACCATAGGAGTAAACTTTATAGCTTGAAGTTGACTGTCTGGTGAAAATAGTTCCTGCAACAAATCTTGTACGAATTCGGTAGCTATGTTGGAGAAAGTCCGATCATTCACACCATTCTTGGTCGATGGTAAGCTATTAGAGGATTCTGATGGGGGGTTTTCGAGAGAGACCATCACCCTCTCTTCATTCTCCAGTCTTTCTGAATCTACCTTTGTCAAGGTGGACGAAGAATTAGTAACGGTTTCTTCCTCATGTGACAATTTCGAATTTTCGGAAAACCTGTTAACTTTGTTAACGGGTTTTATATCACGTGATAAGGTTGAGGAATTCGCAATACTTTTTTGGGTTTGTTCCTTGGAGATATCTACAACGACCTCTACTCCGTGAGAGGAAGTACAATTGTTAATCTCTGGCTCATGCGACTTCTCAACATTATTAACAGTTTCCGTTACATAGACAGTATCGGAGGTGTTATCCTGATCACGCTGGAGTTTCTTCTCCTTATTGCGTTGCCTAATATCATCACTAATCCTTTTCTTATGAACTTCATTCAAGAAATCGTCCGTCTCTCTATCTTCCAATGGTTTCTCATGATGGCCCGTAACCAAATTGAAGTTAGATGAGTTGTTGTTAGGAGTATTATCATTCTGCAATTGTTCCAGTTTCGAAATTCTATCGGTGGTATCCTCGATTCTAGCATCACGTCTGTTATTCTCTTCCATAATTTGCCTTATAAGTTCTGAATTCCTTGCTTCAACCTCAGCAAGCTTCTTTTTAAGTTCGGGAATCTCAGAATTCTTGGCCTCGAGTTCAGCTTTAAGCTCAGCTTTCTCAGCCTCAAGCTCAGTAATGCGTTGCCTCAATGAATCTATTTCGGATTCCATACCTGTGTTATAATATAATATTGTTATGTATTATATGCCTATATTCAAATAATTAAAAATATATATCAACCTGTTAACATTGTTAACGGGTTTTGCCAAGAAAATTTTTTATTAATACATGCGAAATAAATACAAATGTTCGGGACGTAGCCCGCGATACATGACGTCTATCTAATATACATAAATATTGACTACCCCTATTTTGAATCTTGATCTTGATTTTTTCTTCCACGCGACGCTTCTTAGACGCAGGCTCATCACTAGCTGATACCCTATCTTTTAATAACCCCACTATAACCTCCAAAATCCTCTTCACACTCTTGCGCAATTCGGTTGGATCCTCGAGAGCGTCTTCTGTCAATGAAACTCGATACTCGGTCCTGCTCGTACAGTAGATAGCCTCAGTGCTATGCAGGATGAAGTACCAGTCCGTGGCTAAGAAATTATAAAACAAGTCAGTGATGCAAAAGATCGGAGGAAGAAAAAAAACAGGTTCGCTAGAGCATTTTCTCACCTGTTGTAACGATACCATAGACATATTTATACTCCTCGAATGCTTCTTCGGCCTTACGCTTTTTCTTGAGTTTATCTAAGTTCATCTGTGTCCAGGCAAATAACTGATAACGATACTTAGTGTATGAACAAAAAATTTTAACCTTACCCTTTTCCCGGTTGGTCCTCAGCTATAATGCTATAATATTCGAGTGAAGGAAAAATTATTCGTGTAATATGTGTAATATCTGTCGATCAAATATATACAGTATTTATCAACCAATCAACTTTGTCATTGATAAACTATCATTGCTAATATCTTCGACGCGTATTTTGTTGTCTACCTGTCTACCTTACTTACATACTGTTTCATTAATTCATTGATACAAATTACAATGGCGCGACAACCCAATGTTCAAAACATAGCTAATGCTTTTCAAACATTAGCAACTGAAATTGCAAGCCTTCCTAATCTACCCGTAGTTAACATCACACAACAAATACAGAATTTACAACAGATTATGGTTAATCGTATGTATATTATTTTGAACGGGCCTATATTCTGTTTATCATTTTCTCGTTACTTTATTAGAAACGTTCCTAAATATTTTTTTTACTTTTAGAGGAACAAAGAACACAGGCGCGAATTAGTAATTCAACAATCCGCGATGACCATGTTAATATTGAACCATTATTAACAGACACGGGAGTCATTCCACCTAACTTTCCGCAGGACTTAGAAGATATCAAGAACGCTAGGGCTAACACAATTAATGGACTTCTCACAGCTTATAACCAGCCAGTTGCTGGAAATTTAGAGACTCGTAAGAAACGTCTAGCGAAATACTTGGGAATAAGACTAGTTTCTTTATAGGGCGGGAGAATAAGGCAGATATCCTTATTCAGCACATATATGGATCTTATAGATATTAGAAACTTAAAGGGAATACTGTACATCAAAGATATACTTATAATAATAATAATAATAACTTAATAAATTGCTAAATTCAACTTGCAGATTTTTAATAAAACGATATTTGCCAAATATATCTCCATTTATGTTAATCAATGTGACATTTTATCATCACACTAAACATTCGTAGTGATAAGAATAACATTTCTATGCTAATGACTATGTACAATTATTTTTTCTTGATTATTTAGCGTGGGATGGTAACTAAATTAAAGAATCTAAAAATTTATAAAAAAATGCCACAATACTGTAAGCAACTTGATTGTAGAAAAGGAGCTTCATTTGGTCCAAAAGATTCAAAAACTCCATACTATTGTGCTATGCATAAGCCAGTTAATTATGTCAACGTGAAGACACAGTGTCGAGAAGATGGCTGTTACAAATTTCCTCATTTCAGTTTTCCTGGATCAATAGCAACCTCATTTGTCACTCATATGAAAGAAGGAATGATCCATTTGAAGGCCAGAACATGCTTAGAACCTGGATGTAATACACATGCAGTTTTTAATGTTGTTAGCGCAGATAAGGGCAAATATTGCACTAAACACAAACAACAAGAAATGATTGATATCCAAACCAAACTTTGTAAGTATATAAGATGTCAAAAGAAGGCGCTCTTTGCTGTAGAGGGATCACTACGAACTTTCTGTAGTCTACATAAGCAGTATGGTATGATTAATGTTACAAGCAGAAAATGTGCACATTCAGGTTGTTATACTCGCCCTTACTTTAATGTTCCAGGAAAAAATACAAGGTCAATATTGTGTTAGTTACAAAACGGCTGATATGGTTAATGTAGTAAATCGGCAGTGTGAGAAAGCTGGTTGCATGACCTTCCCTTCTTTTAATCTTTTGGAAGAAAAAAGTGCACGTTTCTGTGAAGTCCACCGAAATCCTGAAATGGTCAATGTTATTGGCCCAAAGTGTAATAATATTAGTTGCCAAAAAGAACACTATATGGAATACCTGGCTATAAAATGTCACAATGTGACATACATAAAAACAAAGGTATGATAGCATAATCTTTATGTTTATGCATGATTTCTGATTGTAAGAAGCTCACTACTCACGGACTTTCTAACCCAACTAGGTGCGAGAATCACTTTATAAAAGATATGATTGATTTAGTTCAAAAAATGTGTTCAAATTGCGGATTACCTAATATCCTTATACATAGAGATGGGACTTAAAAATTATTTTTTAAGTTTTAGTACTTAATAATGTAACTTAATAAGGATCTTAAAAAAGAT